GGGGGGAAGGGGATGGGCACTCAGATCACTGTGTCATTAGGCAGGAGGGGTTTTGAGAAACTAGCTACAAGCTTCTTTTAGTCCCACCGAGTAGTTTCATTAGCAGTCTCACTCAAGGTTACCTACCACAATGGTTCACCAAGCCTAGAGATGCCAATATGGAATTCTCTGTCCTAACAGATGGGTAATGCCAATTGAGCAGAGAAAAATGTACTTCTCCTTAACTCTCCAGCAGTGGACTTGCAAAGATAGGGGTGTTTTCTTTCCTGAAACAATCTGGCCTTAAAGTTCTGTCCTTCAATTCTATCGTACAGCTTTGAATATTTTGTAAAGCTTGACACCTAGGCCATGGTGTCAGACAACCATTCTACCATCCCAATGGGAGACAGGACACGCTGAACTAAACCTCTGCAGTTCCTTCAACTTCTGCTAAGTAGATCGAGCATGTGGAAGCACTTCTTCAGAGCACTGTCCCAACTACTGAAATATGGGCAAAGCAAGATGTTAAAATCATGAAACCAATTTTTCAGCTGCTAGCCTTCTGCCGCGTTTTATTACAAAACTATACCAAAAAGTAGAAAATAGATGAGCCACCACTGAAAGCAAAACCAAAAGCAATCAAAAGATCTTCAGTTTTGAGCTAAAACAGTTCTTTGTGAAAAACTAGCTGTTCTGAGTCAGCTGCTGCATCATGATGGCACAGAGGCTAATCAGCTGCAAGTACTCATCAGCACCATCAGCCAGGCATTTGTCCACATCCTGAAAATAAGGAGATAAAAAAAAATTATAATCCATTTAAAAATGAGAAGGGCTCTCCACTACTTCGCCACTGGTTACATGAGTTACAACATGCAACTCATGTAACTTCTCAACCTTTTTTTGACTCGAGATGCCACTCAGGAAGTGGCAGCTCTTATCTTTTACTCATTGTTTGATTGAATTCAGAAAGATCACAAGAGGTAAGAATATTTCCAACACTCTGCATTCCTACTTGAAATCTCTGGGCAAATCGTGTTTGCACACCTAATACTGCTAATGTGTGACACCTCAAGGCACCCTTGAAAGGACATCAAGGCATCCTAGTTGAAAAATCACCAAGGTATAATCCAGCCACCATAACAAGCATTATCTCATTTCTTAGAACTAGCATTTGGAGAATGAGAACATTTTTAAATCTGGAAGAGCTGCTTCTAGTTTCCTGCAACCATTGCATCATGCAAGCAACTGGAACACTTAAGATCTGTACAGGTCCCCACCACAGTCTATGGTTCTAATTCTTTCATTTAAAATAATTCAGTGTTGCCTTACTCACAAGTCGGTCTTATTTCCTCCAGAAAGACTGGTGAGATGGCACTGACACACACACACACACACACACACCCCCCCCCCCACCCCCTCTGGCTCCAAGAGATTCTCAGCAACCTCCCACTTACAGAAAGTGATTTAATGGTGACTCTAGCAACTGAACCAAAGCTGTAAGAATCCCCATTGAACTTGGGAAGTGTGCCCCAGCCATATGAGCTTGTCACTTCTTTGTTCCATTGTGAAAGTATTCAGATGAATCAAGAGGCACAGCTGCTGAGTGCAACCCAATAATGACTTTGATGGGGGTGGGAAAGGCGAAGGGAGTGTGTGCAGAAGTGCACCACTATGTTAACAGAAAGGAATTTGAATAAATGGAGACTTACAGCAAGTTTCTCTGCTATTGTGGATTTTTGCTTGTCACTGAGATCTTCGCTCTCAACAATAACATCATGGAGCTGGTTGACAAGCTGACTAGCGGCATACCCCTCATTTATCAGATTCTGGACCAGGATGGAGAAAATGAAAACAAGGCACCATTAATCTTAAGACTTCTAAGTAGTAACACAATGCATCACAACATAACATTTCAAATACCATCAAGACTATTTTAAAACTTCACTGAGTCAGAGAGTTTACTGTGTGTGTTTCTGAGTAAGAGGCATTTAAACCAGTCAATATAGAAGTCTACCAGATCTCCATTTGAATTAGCAGTTTATTTAACTATCAAAAGGAAAAAGCTTACCTCAGACTTGCAAAGTTTCTTTAAAGTGGGCAATGGTTATCTCATTCAAAATAATGCTTTTTAGCAAAGGGAATTAATGGCCAACTTGTATAAACACCACTCACTGTTACAGGGTACGCCCTCAAACAAGAGCTAAAAAGTAACCTCATGCAGTCAAACCTAACAATCTGTAAATAAAACAAAAGTAGGTGTCCTCTCTTGTGGGATGGGGAATAGACCCATTTTATAAGCTGAAGGATCCTTATTTGTATGTTCAGATCCTGGTGAATACACCTTGAATACAGGGGTGGCCAGCCTGCAGCATGATTGCCACTAGTTCAATTGGCAGGTGGCATGTAGGGCATGGAGCAGAAAGCAGAGCAGCTGATGGGGCAGAGGAAGGGGGTCAGAGTGATGCTCAAGGAGGGCACGGGGATTAATTTGTGGCACACCTGCCAAAGACTGACCCCCACTGTGGGATAGCATACATCTCCACAGACTCCCTCTCAGGAGTTTTTAAATCTAGTAGAGAACAGGAACAGTACCACCAGATTAGTCCAAGCGTCTTAACACAAGTCTTAAAAGAACAAAAGTATCCCATGTCATCTTGGATTGTTACCTACTAGGCTCACTGTTTGCGAAAGAGAAGGGCAGTACATATACCAACCTACAGGTCTACAGCAACCAAAGAGAGTAATGTGCTCACCCACACTGCTTCTGCAGAGAGGAAGAATCCCCTTTTCCCCTATAGCACATCCCTTCTCCCCCTCCATGTCATGATGCAGCATTCCTTCCTGTGTCAAGTTCCAGTTTAAAAGCTTTGTCCGAGTCCCCTTTAAGCTTGTATAGGAAAAAATGCCTATCACCTTCAAGGAGTCTAAAGTTTTGGGGCTTTTTAAAGTGAGGTTGATAGCAAAGACAGATTAATTTCTCTCTCAACATATATAGATCTGGTTTTTCTCCTTTACAGTGAAGCTATTTCTATTCACTGCAATGTGCACTAGGCTTACCCCTAATGTTCTATAGAGTAAATGCTGAAGGCTATTTTTAGACAAGCAGTTACAACTCAGCAATTTACAGCATGCACCAAATACCATTTATAAAAAATACAGGATAGAGACTTCTGCTGATCACCCTAGAACATATTTGTGAGGCACTGGATTGTACCCACAAAAAGTTAATGGTCTAAAGTCTTCAGTGATCAACAGTTTCAAAGCCCCAAGCAGAGCTGAGTTTGCCTCAATTATTACTATTAGTTTGGGTTTTTTCCCCCCCTCTCTAAAATTGAGCAGGATAGCATCACATGTTATCAGTTTAACACGAGGCAAAGGCCACTGTTAAATTTTAAAGCAAGGAGGAGTTCTTCTTACCTTAAAAAAAGTGTTCTCCTTCAGATCAAGGTTTAAGGTCACTGGACTGATTAATGTCAAGAAGCTTGTATTACATTTGCACTGTAACTGCTCTAAGGACAAATAAGTTTTCAACTTCAACCTGCTAACAGGAGTCCTATTATCTAAATTTATATACTGCACAGCTAGCCCAAAGTGATTAGGACAGCAAGACTAGATGAAACAGCCTAATATTAAAACAACTCCCCTTGGTTTAAATTGCTTGGAATTCAGTTGCTGCAAGACCAATGAGAGAGACAAGGATAAAGAAGTGTACCTTTGTTACTGTTTCCAGCTTTTCAAAAGAGCCACTTCGACAGGCAGCAAGAAGTCCATGGATTGCTTCTTTAGGGACCACCTACAAGAGGAAGTCACAAACAGTTAATTTGGGTCATGATTACATACTATCACTAAAGTATTGACCCCAAATAACATTCATCCAGTTGAGTGCCAGAACTGTTCCTTCAGGGATAATATTCTTCCCCGTTTCAGCTACTCAACCCTCCAAGCAAACTATCAAGTTTGATACCAAGACCACTCGAGCCTAATTATATTTTGATAGTCGTACTCCATCTTGGTGACATTAGTTCTGTAGCATTATATAGTCCCTGTTTTGCCAGCCCCACCGTTACATATCAAAGGACATAACCATCTAAACAGAGCGTGGATGAATAAGCCACTACTTGAACGGGTTCAATTTCTTTCATTTCTGTTGCATGATCTAGCAAAACAGCAAATCCATTCCCGTCTTGTTAAGCAGCATAGATGTGGAAAATTAAAGCAATTAAACCAAGCCTGAAGCAACTAAACGATCAGTCAGCAAATCGGAAGATATGAGGACTATTAGAACAGATTAAAGTTGCTTCAACTGTGTTAGCAGATATTGCCATCTTTTGCTTTGCACCCACGATTCCCGATGGAAAGGCTGTCACCAACGAAAGCTCGCGTCTCTGACCAAGTTAGTCTCTAAGGGGGCACTCTGCCCGCCTCCAGACTAACATGGCTAACTACCTCTCTTCCTGCACATTTTCCTTCCATCAACTGCTCTAAATGTTTTCTATTCCAATGCTAGCAATAACAACATACGACCTAGACCTTAATCTGCACCTGTGTACAATGCTGAAGTTCCTCTAATTATTAGCAGGATTCAAGTATATAACTGAAGTTTAATGTCCATAAGAGCACACAAACTAGCTAGATACTCTCCTTTGCTGTTAAAATTATTTTACTTTCAGGTTTCTTAATTCCAGAGGGAATTTCAGTGACATTTAGCTGTTTTATACAGCTAGTGATACAAATCTCACCCCAAGGGGAAAAAACTAGCAACAAAGTAGCTTTGTTTCATTAGCCTGACTTTCAAAATATTCATTGGAATTTAAGTAGCTTCTGCTCCCTTCCCCTCAAAAAACAAGCCTGGGACACCCACAGCACTAGCAAAATTAGCTGTGAAGGGAAGCATGTCTAACACAGACATCCAGCTTTAATACCCTGTTCACTTTTCAGCTCCTTTACTTTTGTCTCCCAATTTCCTACTTTTAAGAGATCAGTGTCACATTGCCATAGCAACACTTTCACAATGAAATTTTAAGTTTTCCCCTAAGGTTTCCACCATCCCCGTCAGCATTATCCGGATAATAATCTTAAAAAGAAAACTGCTGTACAGCTAGAAAGCAAAAGCCACTTTACTTAAATGAACACCATCAGTTTTTCTAAACTAGAACTAGAATAGTTCTTTTGTAAACCAGTCCCCTGAAGCATTTCCAATCCAAGTTTTGCAGCATTGTTAGTGCACAGGCATCTGAGAGACTGATTTAGTCCATTTTAGTTGTCCAGCTTCAGTGCAAAGAATGAAATGCATAACCGCTTAAAATAAGTTAAGTGTTCAAAATTCAGTTAGAGTAATCTAAGGTTATTTTAGAGAATTTCCATTGCATCTGTCCCCAGTTAAAAACTGTGTTTAAAATGTGTAAACACAACAGTTTTGAAGTTACTAGGTGCAGGAACCTGTCCTTTGATAGCTATGCAGAACTGTACAATATTCAAAAGTAAATTGAACATTAATTAAGAACAGTGATACTCAGAGTTAGCAAACATTCTAGATAGAGGAAGGAACTATATTGACTAAAACTGCTATTTTTATGATCAGAAAAATAATTAACGTAAAACTATATTAAGTTACAGGCAAAACAACAAACATCATGCATCACTGCGATAGCCTACCCCAGCAATTTCGGTGACAACCTTCTCTGTGATCTCTTTCCCACCTGTTAATCGAGTAGCACTTTGAAGAAATGTGATTGCTTTTCTTAAGTCTCCTTCTGACGCTTGAACAAGGTAAGATATTGCCTGAGGAATAGCAGGAAATAAGTAACAGGCTATATTGTCAATGTTAGTTCAAAATGAAGAACACTTGGGGTGACCCAATTTAACAAACATGAATCTTGCAACTTCCTAAAGTATGCACAACAGGTCCTACCATTTTGTACAACGTAGTTCCATCTGCATACACAGATCCCAATGTAAATGCAGTTATAAGTTTAAAGTAGGAAACAATTAGCAGGAAAAAAATCTTATCATTGGTTATAAATACACAGCTGGGCATCCATCAAATTATTTCTGCATTGTAACTGAAACGAGGCCTAACACACAAGGCTTAATCTCACATCTCAGATACCTATACTGTCCATCCACGCCCACCATCTTTATTAATCCTTTGTTTCAAATGTAAAGGAACAACTGCACAAAAGAAATAAGACTACTGTTCAGTTCAGAGAATACCAAATACTTGAACTTTCAGGTATCTGCGAGTAGTCTCCCACTGGCACATACTAAATCCCAAGTTTTTCATTCTCTTCAAGGACTAGCAAATAGCTATATGCACCTACCTTGCCCAGCATTTACTTTGTATAAGGATGTAAACAAGTGTTACAGTCAGATCATGTCATACCAGTAAAACAGTGCTGAGGAAAAAATATTTACAATTCCACCCAGTAATCTGTTCTTTGTTTAAAAAAAAAAAAGTGTCTAAATCTGCTTAAATTTAAGTGAATTCAAAGAGTTTTAGTTCTGAGGCACATCCCCCAATATTTTTAAATCCAGCATACCTGAAAAAAAGTCAGGCAGGAAGATTATTAGAAGATCTATTAATTTGTTAGCCACAATAAAATTTGCATGCAAGAAATACGAAACCTGAATAGGCAGAAGCACACTCCAAGAGACATCCATCCTGCTTTTTCTATTCACAATTACTGCACCTTTGTACATTAATGGGATTATATTTTAGGATACAGCAGGGCTCAACCTTAGGAAACTGAGCACAGAACTAGGAGTCCAGTGATTCTGTTGTCATTCTTCCTCTGACAGACTCCTCTGGCCCTGGGAAAGCAACTGAAACTTACTCCATCCAAACAAAGATGCTACTTAAATTAACATATGTACTAAACTTAGTAATAGCTTTGGCTCAGCAGAATGGATTTAGGAAAGCAGTACCTATTCACCCCTTTCACTGCACTGTGATTATGCACTAGATATAGCAATAAGCCTACATAGTGACATTGCAATTACCTCACTGCTGATTTTCACATTTTCCTTTTCAGAAATATCTAGTAGTCTCTGTTCCTGAATTTTATCTGAAAGAGGCTTGAAACGGAATTTGGAGCATCGAGACGTCAAGGGTTCAATTATCCTGGAAAAGATACATATTTTTAAATGTACAGTTGAATGTTCATTCAAATAACTCCACAGAAATCCATCAGCTGAGACTACTGAAGTAGTAAGAGACAAAGCCTCAAAACCATAACACTTTAGGAATAAGATGAAGGAGGAACAACCATTTAAACTGATCGGTTGTATTACACCTTGTATTTTCAAGCACAGAAAACTGTTTCTCAAATTACAAGTTAAACAGCAGACTATCAGAAGGTAAGACTACAGTTAGGAAAGCCACATTTTTATTGCCCATGGAAGCAAAGGCAATACAAACCTGCTGATGTAGTTACAAATAAGACAGAAACGTGTTGTTTTAGATTCCTTCTCCATAGTGCGTCTTAAGGCTGCCTGTGCTGCTGAGGTCATAGAATCTGCTTCATCCAGGATCACAATCTTGAATGGAGGACAAACCTTTCCACTAAAAAACAAACCAACCAAAAGTTCTTCATTCAGTGAAACATTCAATTGTTGAAGTATAATCTGCATTAATATTTAAAAGTCAGCACCTTGTTGTATAGTGCCATCGTTACCTGTAGTCAGTAACAGGAAAAACAAATGAAGTACCATTTAGTTTTGCTAATCCATAACAAAATCTAGACAAAGAACTAATAAATGCAACAAGGCAACTGTATTCAAGTTTCTTGGCTGCAAGACTGCAACCCGAGTTAGCAAAGATTCCTCTGAAATTCTTATTCAGGAATACAATTACTTCCTGTGACAGCTTACACGATTTTTTTTTTTTTTTTTTTTTTTTTGCAGGCTTCCTAGATCTTCTGACATTTAAACATCTTCAGAAGGCAACTTTCAGTATATGACATGGGACCATGTCCTTACAACTGATCTGGGCCTTCTATTCCCCGCCACTTTCCAAATTACTTTCCTGAACCTGTCACTCATTTGTGTTGCCTAATACATTCCCACACCACTCCTTAGCCTATAATCAACTGGCAGCAAATTTGTCACAAATTATGAAAGTTACTCTCACACTAAGTATTTAGTCATTCAGCATTTGCAGGCATGTATACTGAATTACTAAGTCCAAAATGCTATTGCACTTGAGATCAGGTCCATTCTCTCCGGGGGGATTCTCCATAGGGCCTTTAATACCAGGTGCTCATAAGCACCAGAAGCAGCAGCCTTGACATGCAGCTTGCTTCAGTCCAACTCAAAAGCAGTCTGATTTGTGCAGACTAGGGGCTTCTTGGCCTTCCTGTCCCCTGGCTCATATGAAGGTTATAAAATTAAGGTCGATTAGATAATCACAAGTTTTGTAGTACGGGAGAAATACAATATGTTGAATAGAGCTGCTTTTGATCACATGCTTACTCTGAACGGTTTCCAGATACAGTTAGCTGAGCAAAAGCCTTCACTTTTTCTCGAATCACTTGTATTCCACGTTCATCAGAAGCATTTAACTCAAGAACTCTCTGCCGAAACAGTTCAGGCCTGTAAAGTATGTATAACATGACATATTAACTGCTAGATGTTGACAGTGGCTTATTAACATGCAAAACAATCTTGTAAACATTCAGGTTGTGATTTTTGAACTCTAGTATCATTCTTGCTAGTGCTACCAAACAGTCGTCATCTTGCTTATGGCAGACTGTTAAATTCCAAGTCACATGGGGCCTAGAATTCCATAATCTGTATCAACGATCTTGTCCCTTAGACTTCAGAGAACAATTAAACCTAGGTTTACACCACTCCTCCAGACAAAAAAAGTTGAAGCAAAGTCTAAGAAACCCGATTTTTTACATATATATTTTGTTCATTTCCACATGCAGGCTGTAAACAGAATAATTGGTAAACCCCACCATGCAGGCAGCAACAGTACCTTTGCAGTCATCATACTTCCAGGATTCATGATACTAAAGATTAAATTTAAAATACAAACAGTTGTGCTAAAACAAGTTTTCCATTTCATTCATAGAACTACTGCTCAAAGACTATATCACAAGTTTCCAGAAGCCTCTACACCTCAGAAACAGTTTTAGGACCAATTTGGAGTTTCTTCCAACTGTTAAAATTACTTCTAACCTGTTCTCATCTTAAACCAGGGGTGGGCAAAATGCAGCTTGGGCGCCAGATGCAGCCCGCCAGGCCATTCTATCCGGCCCACGGAGCCCCTAAAAAAAAAATATGTAGAAAATTAATATTTATCTGCCCCCGGCTGCCTTTAATGTGGCCCTCAATGGCTTGCCAAAACTCAGTAAGCGGCTCTCCACCCGAAATATCTGCCCACTCCCATCTTGAACCATGGAACCTATAAAAGGACATGACACTTTTAACTTGGAGAAGCAGTAGTCAAACTAATAAAATCCTGCAAGACAAGAGCTGAATGGCAGGCCAATTCAGCCAGTCACTTTCCCTTTGGTTTATAAGCTACTCAAGTCTCCAGTCAAACAAGCAAACAAAAAAACAATACACACACGAGCCAACAATACACATCAAATTAAGAAGAAACAAAGCAGGGGGTGCACAAACTGTTCTTTTAAAATCCCTAGATATCATATTCAAACAAAACTGCCTTCAGTGCCCCATCAGACATCACCTAAAATATTCATTTCTGCTTGAGAACAACCTGACCACCATCCTCACCACCATTTCTAGGTAGGCGAGAAGATACCCGTTTCCATTTCTGACCGACTCCCATGGCTCCCTTCAGACAACCTGCGCCTTAATTCTTCCATTATACAGCTGATCATCAGTTTTCCTTGTATTCACCAAGTACAGTAAGCTCTAAACACCAAGGATTTTGATCAATTATTTTTAACTGAAACTAAAAATCAGTTTTAGATGCAGGCAACCTTTCCTCCTCTTATTCTTTTCTGCTTTAAGTATGTAGGTTCACCACTGTGCAAGGGCTGTGGCTGCATGGCTGGCCAACTCACTGCACTGCCTTGAAACTGAATATTGCACAGAATCTAGTGACTTACCATCAACCTGAAGGAAAAAAATATCCTGATGATATCAGCACAGAACCGCCGAATCCAAGATGTCATACCCAAAGCCACATAACAAGAACCAAGAACATGCTGACAAGTCAAGGCTAAGAGACACCAGGGAAACTTTCAAGGGGAGGAAAGCGTCCAGGAAGAAAAAGTAGAACAGACACCTGCTTCTGCTTCCACCACCACCCACTCCTCCATGCTCTCATCCCCTTAACACAGCATTATGAGGCAAAGTAAACTGCTTTTCTTGTCAACAGCCCTCTCTCCACAGTATCAGATAGTTCATAATGAAATGCAAATTTGCTGGGCATTGCAAATGAGAGTTAACCTAAAATTTAGATCCTTATAAACTACAAACCACATAAAATTAGAACTGGCAGTAACTAAAAGTACTAAAGCATATCGCAGGGTTGGCAAGCTTTTGAACAGTCACTTAAGCAATGGCAATTAGATTCCAACTTACCCATAAAGTTCTCTGGCTGCTGCCAAAATAGTGGAAGTCTTTCCCGTTCCAGGAGGGCCATAGAACAAAAGATTGGGAAGCTGAAATGCAGAGCGAGAAGAGAAACTCTATACAGCACAAGTTACTGATGCCTCTCTGAACGAGTTAGTCCATAAGGTGCCCCCTGCCATGCTGGGTGCATCACAGTTAATGTACAGGCATTTCTACCCCACTTAGTGTACAATCCAAGCACCAGTACAGCACAGAGACTAGGTGGCCGTGCAATACCAAATCCTTCATTTCTAGGCTGCTGGGCACTGCAGGTTGCTGTCAAAAGGAAGGCACAAGCCCAACTCTGTTCCAACAGCTCTATGCTAAACTGCTAGTAGCACCTGACCTAGCAAGTCTGAGGCTAGTTTAAGTGTGACTGCAGTGTAGCAGACAGAAGAGTGACTACCATCACAAGAGTGACTGCAATATAGGCAAATCCCACACAAGGTTTTTAATAGCTGTTCCAGAAGTGTGTGCTGCTTAGTTCTGTTTTCACACAGAGTTTTTAGGAGATTATTGATAGAGTGCCTCAAGAATTGGTCTGAGCCAACTTCATTAAACACTTCACCATAATTAAATTTGCTGTTGGCACAAAGTTGTCAGCACACTGAAGGATCAGAACACCAAGTAGCAAGGACCAGAGCAATAAATATAGGATGAAAGTTATTTGTGTTGTCTTAAGAGTAGATTAGACAAGCACTTTGTATGTGATGGTTTGAGTAGGGATGATCTTGCCTTTATAAGCTTCTTCCAACCCTACTTTTCTATGCATCAGGCAAAGTATTCCCACTATGGCCTCCATGATTTTGTGTACAGGTCAGGTCAGGTCAGCTAAGTTGAGTAGCTAAGTTCAGACTGGAACAGGTGTGGAGAAATGTTGGTAGGTGATCAGGGAACAGAGAGTTTATTCTACAAAAGCAGACTCACAGCTTGGCTCATTTCACCCAGCAAAACAAAGGCAGACAGGGAATATAACAGCTTGCTATAAATAGAGGAGGGGTAAACAGTAGGGATAGAGAAGAGCTATTTAAACTGAGTGACAATTTTGGCACAAAAGCAACTGCATATAAACTGTTCATGACTAAATTTAGGCTGGAAATCAGAAGAAGGTTTGTAATCATCACAGGAGTGAAATTCTGGAACACCCCTTCAGTAGGTTTCTTGCTCCTGCTACTCTAATCTGGTTTTAACATGAAGCCTGATTGTGCCTACGGAGGAAGGGACTTTGTGACCCAGAAGGTCCCTTCAGGTACCACAGTTTATTTCTAGGACCCAACAGTCCCCTCCAACCCATGAAAAGACCAAGCTTCTTATCAGGTCTGATTTCTAGTCCTAAATTACATTTCTATTTTTAAAAGGCTAACTAAAGTTAAAGGTAGATTGCACACACTTGAATGCTGGCTATAGCAGCTATTGCAGACAGAATGGGAACAGTAAGAACCCAGAAATCCAAAAGAGAAAATTACAGGGTATACACTCCTCACAGCTACAGAAAGGATCAGACAAGCATTATTTAGCAACAATCCTTTATCAAGTCTATATAGTTACAGCCAATCTATATATAGTATTTATAAGTATAAAATAATCCATTAAAATCTTGCAATAGTAGATCTTAAAATACCATAATATTTAGAGGTGGACCAATAATATCAGTCCATATTGGATTGGCACCGATAAAAGGGAAATTGACGTTATCACCGTTCGGCTTTTTTAGGCTGGTGTAGCTGATAATATCACCGATAAACGGTGCATGCATGCACACAGCCACAGCAATCATGGAGCCAGGAATGCAGCCCCAGCAGCATGGAGAGCAGTGTCCAGCCAGTAAGGGGAGTGGAACAGGCTGTGCAGATCAAGGCCCCCACAGTGAGGGAGGAAGTGGGGCAGGCTCGGCCCAGCCAGGGCAGAGTGGGGCACAGGATGGAGCCACAGGCAGATTGTCCAGGGAGGCCAGGTGGCTCCCTGCTGCTGCGCGCATCCTTAGGGGTAAGCATGGGGGTGGGGGCCATGTGCTCCCCAGATTTGTGCACGGGGCAAGGACAGGATGCCTGCTGCAGACTTGAGGCCAGGAGCTGTGTTGGCCTCTTCCCGGTGGGGCTATGGCCACCCCAAAATTCTCCACTGCCGACCCTCTCCTCCTCCCTTAGCTTCCCCTCCGAACACCACTACCACCCACCCCAAGCACAGCCCTGGCACAGCCCCCTCCCAGAAAAAGGCTGGCGCAGCCCCTGGCCTTTGTCCCGCACACAAATCCGGGGGCACATACTCCACATGCCTTCCCCAAGGATGTGCGCAGCAGCAGGGAGCCATCCCCCCTCCTCACCCCCAAGACAAACCACCTGCAGTTCCATCCTGTGCCCTGCCCAGGCAAGTGCCTAACCCTGCCCCAGCCCTACTCCCTCCCTCACCATAGGGGCCTCATTCTGCACACCCCCTGCATGCCCCTTCCCACCCTCACATCCCTTCCCCTTCACAGACTTACTGGCCTGCTCTCCAAGCTGCCAGGCTGCATATCAGCTATCAGATGGGTATCAGCCAATATGGCTGGTTAATAATTGGTCATTGGTATCGGCCAAAAAAATCTTTACCAGTGTACTTCTAATATTAATACATATCAGTATATATTTGTCACTGAAACCCCACCTTCTCTAAAAACTCAACTTTCCTGAAGCCATGACTTCAACAGATTCTAAAGACTGTTACATATACAGAGCATCCACCAAGTAATAAAACATCTTTTAAGAACATGCCTTCAAAGATCTGATCAGCAACTAGAAACATCAATCTCTCCCAGAGTGTTTAAGATTGTACTGAGAAGCAGAGATACTTTGAGCGTTTCAATTCTCATGATGCCTCTTTGGATTGAACACTAGGCAGACAGAGCAGGTTCTTTGCAGAGCTTTGTGCTTGGCTTTGTACAATTTGCAGAGCTTTGCACAATTATCTATATCCTCCCAAAGTGTTAAACCATTCCCAGATAATCCTCTGAAAAAGGCATTAGTAAGGAATTTTAATGAGATTCCATGTTTTACTAGTTCTACTTAACTAGCTAAACCCATACTTTAATGTTTGTACTTCAATTTCACTATTTGTTCTTTAGTTCCACTTCTAAATTATCACCAGCATTTACACTGCTTTCCTACAAAGCATAGCCAAATCATTTATATAACTTAATGGCAGTATTTTTAGCAGAACTGTAACCTGATCCAGCCAAGCAGTTTTCAACACTTGCCAGGGGTAAGCTGGGATACCTGTCGGCCTCTTATCCTAATTATGATAAGGTTACAGCTACTGAAAATGGCAGCTCATACTGCAAACCCAGTCTGTTTCTGAAAGTTTGACATGTAGTAAGTTCTTAAGAGCTGGGTATATGGAGAGTAAAGTGAAATTAAGAGCCCTATGACTAGTGGTCTCTAAATATAGTCTCAAAAGATAAACAGAGCTCTGCCAATATGTCGGGATGTAATGCTACATTTGTTTTTCTTACCAAGATCAGACAGCAGCAGCAGCAAAGAAAAAATGGAATCCCTACAGACAGAAACAAAGCGTGCGCACTTATAATTAATTGTGCTCAGCCCGCTATATGCACAGAAGGGAAGCAAAATGTTTCTTACTGCAGACTGAAGCTGATGGGGGGCCTAGCAACTCCCAAAATGTGGCCTAGTACCACTGGTAGTCCACAGGACAGTCATCAGCAGCCCACAAACTACTAGCTTTCCTCATTTTCATCAATGAAGTTAGTGAAAAAATACATTATAAAGTATTCAACATTGTTACATAAGCAACTGCAGTAGATGCCACCGGCAAGAAACAAACTAGGAAGAGGACGCCCATGGAACAATCCTGCTAGTTAAGCATGATCCACACAAAGTTTGGGGACTCAACCTCATCTTCCCCCTGCACAGCAGCAATAAATAGTCAGCAAAGAATCATCTGAGAAGCATGCTTATGAATTCACTGGGGTTCTCTGGAACAGAAACTGGCAGTCTCAGGCTTTATACAATTTTATATCTTGACTTGTTTGTTTGTTTGTTTTAAAAGTCCCGTTCAAAGTAATACAATTAGTATGTTGTTAGTTCTTAAGCTTAGGATAGCTATGTGCTTTTGACATCAAATGGTTTACTCAGTTGGGGCAGCACAGCTACAAGATACAAAACCCGTAGCTATAAATAGGAACTACAGATCAGCTTTTTGACTCAGCAGACAAAGTCAACACTGGTATACCGGACTCAATCCCAGAAATCTAGCTGGTTCAAAAGTGGTATCAGTTTAAACAGCACTGCTCAAAATAGAACAACCCAACCCATGACCTACGCAACGTCATAAGACTGATGTTCCAGGGTGAGCGATAGCTTCCCATGTCTCATTAATATTAACTAGCTGAAACCTGCAAATCATTTGTGATTAAATTTTTATTGCAAAGTATTTCTTTAAATATAGGATTTTTAGTTATCCTTTGACCAAATACTTCAAACAGAATCAAAACTTCTCACCCTCGAAAAGGCTGCATAAAGCTGCCCATGTGTCAACACAGGCTTAGGAATATAAATACATATATTTTTCAAAAGCCTAACCTTGTGACTTGTTTATAGTCATAAGAGGGCCCTTGTACACATGAGGAAATTTCCCCTTTTAGTGGTTTAATTGCCTTTAACGATTTAATTGCATAACAGTGTGCATGTTCGGTGGCATATTTCAATTTAAATGACTTTTTTTACATAGCAAACTAAAGCACATCCTATGCATTTTAGTCTGCTATGTAATAATTAACAGCAATATTCCTCACATGTACAAGGGCTCTATCCAGAGAACGTGGCAGGGACAGTGCATGTGGTGCTGGAGGTCCAGGCGTGCTCATGGAAGCTCAGACTTGGTGAGCTTCCACTACCCCATGCACCATCCCCGCCACCTTCTCTGGCTGCCAGCACACCCAGCCACCCTTCTGCCACCTTCCCAGGGCAGCCAGCCTGTCCCTGGGCATTCCCAGGCAACAGGGACAGTGTGTGGGGTGCTGGAAGCCAGCCAAGCCCAAGCTTCCATGAGCACTCCCGGACTTCCAGGGCCCCATGCACCGTTGGAACCCGCAGGTGCTGCCTGTGAGCTGGGGCTGCTCCAGCACAGCTAGTACCTTGCCCAGGCAGCTTTGGAGGGCACCACCACCACAGAGGGAAGCACCAAAGCCCCCTGCAGCTTGGCCCCAGGCCCCAGCAGGCTCTGGGGAAGGAAGGAAAAATCAAAAAAAAAAAAATCAGGCCCATCACTGCTTTTCTTTCCCCACTTCAGCAGAGGCTGCCTGCTCTGCAGCAGGGCATCCTGGTGCTTCTTTCTAGCTCTGACTTGCTTGCATATCTGTTTGAAATGCCTCAGGATCTATAATAATAACAACACGCTTCTTCCATCTGTCCAGAACACTCCAATTGGTTGTTTCAGTAAGCTTTGTGATTGGCTGCTCAGACAACCAGAATACTCTGGACAGACAGAATACGCCTATTATTATTATTATTATTATTATTATTATAGATAGCTCCTTTATGAGACAAATACAGTCACATTTGAGGATATTATTTAAAATATGGTAGAATTAGGACATAGAATAAGGAACTGGCATTTCAGTGCTTTCAACACATCAGTGTCCTAGAAGTACAAGCTATTGGGATGTATTAAGCAACAAATTTTTATAGTTACACTAGTTTTACTGTCGTGGTACTGCTAAAACAGCTCAAACAATTTCCTTTAATTTTTTTTTTTTTTATTTTATTTTTAATAATTGGAACATCATGTCCCATAAGGGCAAGCTAATACATTCAGTATAAGGGGACTGCAATAGGATACAAAAGTTCCACCATCCAGAACTTTTAGTTCAAGCTGTACTCCAGGAAATAGTCATCATTAAAAGGCTTTTTGAAAACTTATATGGAAGGCTTTCCTTTATTCAGTATTGTTCCTACTTAACATTAACACAAGAATTATTCCCATCAGCTACCTACGGGAAAAAAAAAAAAAATCAGAATTGCTCTCTGAAGTTTAGAGATGTTCTCTGGAATACCAGAGAAGTAGGAAAAGGCTGCAAGTCCGTGCACAGGAGGCAAATATCCTACATTCGAAATGCAAAAATGAGAAGAAAAAAAAAAACTGACAGGAGATTATCAGTAAAGCTTCCAACATTATACTAGAGCAGTGGTCTCCAACCTTTTTAAGTAATCACCTTCGGCATTTAAAAGCAACCCAAGATCTACCGTGCACCACCCCCACCCCACAAGTCTGTGGGGAGGGAGAGCAATCGAGGCAGAGAGAGGAAAAATTATTTGGGGGTACGCCTCCCCAGCAGGTAAGTCGCACCCGGCTGGGGCCCCACTCAACTTACCCCTGCTCCTGCGGCACTGCCCCTCACCGCCGGGGCCTCTATCTAGCCCCTGCCCCTTCTCTCCCCCACGGTCCGACCTGTCCATTGGGGCACACATGTGCATGCACACAGGCACTCAGCCCCCTCGCCCCTCCCCCCAGCTTTGGATCGACTCCAAGATCTACCGGTGGATCAAGATCCACTGGTTGGTGACCTCTGTACTAGAGGGCTAATGGTTTTAGAACTGCTAGAGAGCTAGAAACATCAAAAACGTAACACCGCTCGAGACATGCTGTCGGGAAGCTTGTTCGTTAATGAAAGCCTCATCTAAGGGGTAAGCATTAATACAAGAGCAGCACAGCGCAATGGCAGGAGAGCTATCTGAACGTGCTGCAATGGAGTCGACTGGCCACACTCACATCAGCTCCTTCCAAGGATTTTTTCATCACAGCGACAACTTCGTCCTGGAACGCGATCTCATCCACGCACTTCGGGCGACTGGGTAGGAAGAGAAGCGAGTGCGTTAGCGTTTACTAACTTTTACTGTGTTGTCTGACTAAGGCAGACGTCGCGGGTCACGCAGAGATCACAGCCGAGACTGGGAACGATCCCAGGGTGTGCTCCCAACCGGGGGCCGAACAGCTTCGTGTGAAACCGCCCAAGCTGCAGGCCCGCCCCCTGCGCCTGCCCGCGGCTCTTACTACTTCTCCACCCAAGGCACGGGCTTGAGTCTCTTGCCCTCGCCGCTGCTGCCCCCGCCC